CAATGGCTATTTATATGCCGTATATTTTCCCATGAATTTTTTTTTTGAAATTATGTTTTAAAATTCTGACCAGATTTCTGAGGAAAATTTTAACTGCCTAGGGTGCATCTTCGCTAGCTATTCTCTATTGAGAAGTTGATGGCTCGTTTTAATACTCTCCCTCAACACATCACCTATCTACAAGGGGGGGGGGGGGGAGTATTCAAACGAGCCATCAACTTCTCAATAGAGAATACTTCACTAGCCAAGGGTTTCTGATACGCTACTCTCCTCATAAGTTTATAAGGAGAGTAGCGTATAAGAAACCCTTGGCTAGCGAAGATGCCTAGGGTGAGATTTATGACAGTCTTAGACATATAAAGCCAAGTCTCTGAATAAATTAGATTTTGTTGACTTGTTTGCATTTATGCATTTATTTTTATTATAGTGTGTTCGGTACCACATAACATGCGAGAATACTTTCTCCAGTATGTTGGAGAGAAGATTAGCAAGAAAAAGGCGGGTGAGAAAATGAGAAGTTGACAGAAAAAGATTTTTTTCATTATCGAAAGGGACATGTACAACATCCATAATGGTAAGAAAAGAGAATTATTTATAGTCATATTTATTTGTTTCTATGACGTTTCTTTCGATAACTTTTCACTCATATTGAAAAGCCAGCACTTGAGAACCAATACTCTGTACTCAGGACCCTTGAGCAGTGAGTAATTTTGTTCATGCCAGCACCTACTACAACATGGGACCTCAGTTTCATTTGAACACCAGTCTCCACATCCTGCAGTGGGATTCGAACCCGTGATGTTAGGATCAACTCCTTTATCTGTGACTCTAAAGCAAACACTTAAACCACTGCTAGTCATATATGTATTCCTTATGATGTGAGCTAGCATTATGAAAATTACATGTGCTGTAGATCATAGGTTGCTACATAGTTCTTTGTATGTTGCGCTAAAAAATATGGTGTTCAACTTCATAGGTCTAGGACTAAAAGTTTATGAGGGCATACTATCTTAATATCACCCACCCATTATCATCTGATCAGCATGATCAGTACTATTAAGCAGGAAAACAAATATTTGAAGAGACATACTGTAAAAATAATTTTGTAAGATCTTGGAAAACATGTAATTTTGGAAGTAGATTGACATATAAGTATATAATTTTTTTTGTGGATAACAGTTGATTAGGGTAGGTGGTCACTGGTGTGATATTGACCCATTATCTGATTATTTTTCATACTTAAGTTTTGTTCGAGTATATGTCAGTGTTTGTTATTGTACAACGTATTCTGGGTAATTTTCTCTATGGAATACCTTTTTACAAGATTTCTTCTTTTTTTTAGAATTATTTACTGAATTTGCGAAATACATGTGTTCGACTTACAAGATACATGTGTTGGGTTATTGCTAGTTAGAACAATCTAACTGTGTCTTGGAACAAGCCCTTGACCACCACAGTTTATATGTCCCATATACTAGCAATGTAGCATATTGGAAAGGATCCGCTCAGAAATGATTTTGAAGAATACAAAAAAAATTGCACTGAAAATAACTATCAAATTAATCATAACAAACCTTTTTGAGATTTTATATGCCTTTTAACCTAAAAAATAATCCATATAAATAAGAAAATTCAACTCATTTTCTCAACCTTTTTTCCTCACTTCATGTTGAATTCGGAACTCTCTGGATTGTTCATAGAAAATGCAGTCAGTTTGAGTTATCGAACTTGCTTATTTTGCTTCATTGCCAATACACGGAACGAATTCTATCGTTAAACCAGAAAAAGAAAATTCATATTATTTTGTAAAACCAAAATATTGGTTTAAATATACTGACAATAAAAAAAAAGAGACAATAATTCTCAAATTATGAATAACCTTAAAACATTGAGTGCACCTACAAGCACAGATCCCATTATTTGTAATATAATGCACACACAGGCATGTAAACTGAAGTAAATCAAACATATAGATTTTCACTGATTAGCTAATATACATGTAGAACTAGTTTGAAACTAAATACTCGTACAAATACAAACGAAAAAAATAATTATTTTCCAAGCAAATAAAATGAAGAAATTAAAAGTTTTTGATTTTATTTTGATTTAAAAATTATCAAAGAATATTTAAGTCCAACTTCATGAAAAAGAAAAGCTGAAATCAAAATATTTGTATCAATTTAAATGTCATGCTTGATAAATTTTGGAAATACTGACAGATACACCCTTGCATAACACATATACATGACTAAAATTGTAAATTTTTAGAGACTTTGGAAATGCATGGTGTCAAACTTTGTCTCATTTTAATATAAAATGAAAAAATTATAACCGATTAAAAATATTGTGATCTGTATTGTAGCATAAATATTGTGATACCTAATATAGTATATTTATTTAGATATAGAATAGTAGACGAAAGTGTATTATCCCAGCCCTTTATATTTGCAGTGCAGTATAAAACAGTTCAATTATATAATAATGAAGTCAAGAGAATATGGACATGATTATATGTAAATTAATAGATTTTGTTTTCATTTTTGCAGGTGTGTCTGATGGAATTTGTCATTTCATTAATAAATAATGCTGATAAAGATGCAAACTTAGCAATTGTGCCTAAAAAGTGACAGCTTTGACAAGGAAATATATCCATATATAACAGTTACTGGTACTGTCTGAATGCAGTGAAAGGATCCAGATGAACAGATGAAGAGATTAAGTACAGTGTACATCAATTACTTGGATGAAGAGAATCTGCAACATGGGGTAAGGTATATTTGCTGCTTTATTAGTTATAAACTGTAAATAAATTGTTAGCAGAAAATAGACACAAAAGCTTTAATTAAAGGAAATCAGGGGTAAATACTAACTTTTAAAGCATGCAGATACTCAGTGATAGACTGATAGTTTGATAGTATCATAAAAACCAAAAGAACTTCAGTGACTTTGAATTCCTGATAGCCCTAGCTGTTAATGAACTAGCTGCCCATTACAGCCTTTGGCTGCTTATGGAGTCATGACTTGATTGTGGGGGAGGGGGGGGGGAGAAAATGAATTCCCAGTGGAGATGGGTATGAAGGTTAAAAATAGGGCCACAAAGAACCAGGTTATGGTGAGGCAGACTTGCCTCCTTACATTTTATTGTAATTATTTAACCCTTCACTCTTTATGAGTGAAATAATTCTCGAATGGGACATAAAACAACAATCAATCGGTCACACTTCACTCGCTGTTCACAGCAGTTGTTGCTCTGTATTGGGCACTACTGGCTCACTTAAGCAGGTTAAGTTCAGTTTGGTGTTTACTAGTCATTCCAATGATAAATAAGTCACAGGGATCGACATTAACGATTGTCCGATTGCCCGGGACAAGTAAATTCTCAATTCGGGCAAGTGAATCCTGCGACGTACTTTGGGCAAGTGATTTTTTTTTCGTAGAAATGTACATATTAATTTAGTTTACATTAATTTATATATAAAAAAAATAAATTGAAGACTTGATTTCCGCCAGGTACCTGACTGACAATGTTTTTGCATTCGGAATTCCTTGTCAGCATTTTTGGATTATACCTTTCATTTGAAAATCGGGTTCGTTATTCCGTTTTTCCCTGGTAAATATGCTGTTTGTCTATTCACCGTCTAACATCTTTCTTAACTTCTTATTTGGACATTAGATTATTTATTTACTCAAAGAATATAAGTACAGTGTAACACGATGTATCCTGATCAAGGTGTGTTACGTAGCAACTATCTTCCTTCAGTGTTGTTTCACAGTTATCTCAGAAAATCACAATTCACAAAAGAATCCTACCAAAAAAAATTTTTAAAAATATGAATTTTATTTATTAAATGGAGGGTTATTGCTACATGTATATGGCAGTGTGTGTTAACAGGTTAAATTTACAAGGACAGTGGTATACCTTTATGTACAAAGGCAGCATTTAAATTTTTTCAGGTACCTCACCTTGCCAAATTGACAGTAGTGTATTTGGTCGCATTTTTTCTTGTCATAACATTTACAGTAATAAAAAATTTCTTCTGAAGTTCTTTCCTTATTTTGGGCAACCAAGTTTTGAGTTCGGACAAGTCAAAGTTTGAGATCACTTGCCTGAAGGGCAAGAAAATCTGAAAGTTAATGTCTATTCCTGTAAGAACATTTTTTGTGAGTCGACTGCACAGCAGTGCAACACCTAGGGATCAATTTACCTGGCATCTGTCTGTCTGTCCATCTGTCACACCTTATATCTCGAGAATTGTAAGAGGTTTAATTGTTTTTGATATTTGGTTAATATTTTGCTTGGCACTGTGACTTTTTTTAAATACCATGGTTGCCAATCTTGTGACCCTTGAACTTACCTTTGACCTACTTATAAAAAAGTTAGTGCCAATATTCAGCATATTTTTGATAATTTAAAAGAGGTAAGTCTATGCTATTTAGCATGTGCACAATTTGTCATAAATTATAATGAAAAATACCAGCATTACAGTTCACTTGACCTTGACCTTTGTTTTACTTTTCAAAAAATACTTTGAATGGTTAATTTAACTAAAATGTTTTGATTTTCTAGAAGTAGTGTTTTGATAATTAGCATTGATGATCTCATGACACTCTACTTTGAAACTTTTTGATATCCAGTTATCACACAAACTAAAACTTAAATCCTATGAAAACAAAGCGGGACCAGTATACCACAATGGGTGGTAATGTAGACTGATGACAGTTGCAGTAAAGACAGCCTGAAATCTCTTTAGAAAAAACTGTTGAAAAGATTGTTGACCATTATATGGTGACGTCTCTATTTTAGTGAAAAATTCTTAAACAGGATGTAAAACGACATACAATTAAACAATCAATCCAACTACTGAGTGAGCTTTCTAGCTTGTGAACTACCAATTATGTCCAATTGGAAGTAATATTTGAATGTTTTAAAATGTGATTGTACATTGTAGGAAATAATGTTCCTGTAGAAAAGTCAGAGAATGTATACATGTGAGATTATGAAGTAGCCATACATGATGAGTAGGAATTTGAAGTGAATTATGGGAAAAGGTATGTAATCCATTAGTTTGCTTTAAAGTTAGTGATTTTAAATCTGAACACACTGTGTAAAAGGAATTTTTCCGCCTTATTCCTTTATTCACGCTATATTGTAGGGTCCCTATGTAAACCACTCACTTAGTCACTGTTCCGTGTAATCTGTTGTCACCTGTCTGTATAGACAGACTGACGTATGCTACATAGCTCTCGGTAGCGACAAAAAATTACTGTGTACTTCTTTCACGTACGGCAGGAGAGAAAGATGCCAATGAAACTTACAACAGTTGCACAGGTCAGTGCAGTATACAAACATACACAAGTACACGCAACTGCAATAAAATAAATAAACAAAGGCAATGCAAGATAACCAGCATGAGCATGTGTCACCATTCCACTCCGATACCTGTGACAATAAAGCAGTCAGGTGTAACAAATGCGAAGAGTATACCCCGGTGCTGATATAGTAGATGATATATAATCGAATATAGTGTATGCCTATTTATGAGATGTGTTCAGCTTTAATTGATTGTTTTTCTCTGACAATATGTACCATAGGTCATAGTCATTTATGGTATATACAGTGGCGCCATGTTTATCCGAACACTTCATCTTCCAGATGCTATTTTTCAGGAATAGATTTTTTCCATGTCATTCTGTCTCATTAATCCAGAAAAATGTGTTCCGCATCCGGACGGTCGATTTCTACTACAAAACGTAATAGTCATTGAAAAATGACTCGTTTATCCGGACGGTAATTTTTCAAGAAATGACTTTTTCTCACTTATCTTCAGGGGTTGAAATTTTCCTGGAAATCCCACTAGCCCAGGGGCTACTGATCAGGAAAAAATTACTAGCCCAAACTAACTAGCCCAACAATTTTTTTTATGCAAAATGAAAACAAAAAGTTAAAGTTTTGAATGTTTTGGTGACAGAAACAAATTAAACTAGTTCTCAGTCAAAAGAAACCAGTCTTCATAGAAAAATGAAAGTAAACTGACGAGAATTTTTTTTCTGTTCTGCTAGTCCGACAGACTATCATTACATTTAAATAAGCTAGCCCGAGTCTTAAAATAACTAGCCCCGGGGCGTCAGGCTACCGTATATTTCAACCCCTGATCTTGCAGTAGTGTTAATTGTAGTAAAAACATTGGCCATGCAGTCAGTTTGAAGGCGATACCTGTGACCTACAAACAATAGCATCTAAAATTAGCGTGTATTTACCCCAATTAAATTACACGTCTAATATGAAGCTCGAAGAATTTAGCTTACACCAGTACACTGTGCATTAATTAAATAAGAAACAGTTCAAAATTAATCAATATTATTTTTAACAAACTTAAGCCAAAGAGGTGTCCAGATCAACAAGGTGCCACTGTATATATTATATAATACATGCATATAAATGTACTTGCTATTAACAGTGAGTACAATAAAATTTTCCCATTAAGTATATTAATTTTTTTCTATGTGGTTTACTTTATGCCCAATTATCAGCAGTTTCCTTAATGGCCATATTTAAGTATAAGAACTAGGTTGCAAAAGCAGACAAAAGGTAAATATAAAAATCTTAAGTGGAAGGTACTTTATCACTCATTGAATGTTAATTAGGGCCTGCATGAAATGTTAAAGCTATATAGGATTCACATTGTCCATCTTTATGTCTTTCAGCCAGCAATTAACACTTCAGTTGTGACACAATAAACAAGTTTTAATTTATGCAGTGTAATACTATACAGGGTATTGATGCATACAGTAAATGAGATCATTAGAATGGTGTATTTATATACTGTATATACTTGATATCAACAATTTTTCTCAGTGGTCTACTTTATGCCCGATTATAAGTGGTCTCCTCAATGGCCATATTTAAGTATAACATATGTATAAGTACAGGTTGCTATAGCAGACAAAGGTAAATATAAAAATCTAAGTGCAAGGTACTTTATCGCTGATGGAATGTTAATTAGGGCCTGCATGAAATGATAAAGCTTTATAGGATTCACATATTGTCCATCTTTATGTCTTTCAGTCCAGCAACACTTCAGTTGTGACACAATAAATAAGTTTTAATTTGATATGCAGTATAATATAATACAGGGTATTGATGCATATAGTGAATAAGATCATTAGGATGGTATATTTATATACAGTATATACTTGATATCAAGGGTTAATTCAATTTACTAAATTTTTCTCACTGGTCTACTTTATGCCTAATTATAAGTGGTCTCCTCAATGGCCATATTTAAGTACATGTATAAGTACAGGTTACCATTGAAGACAAAAGGCATATACAAAACTCTAAAGACCATGATACTTTGATACTGATTGAATGCTGATCTGGACCCACTGGCGGATTTAAGGGGGGGCGTGGGGGGCGCACGCCCCCCCTAAAATTTTCAAATTATGATATGACTAATATTAATAATGCCATACTTAAGTATATAACTAACCAATACCACTATTTTTGTGCCTGGTTTTACTCTTAAAATACACGAAAACTCAGGAGCTTCCGGGGGCTTCGCCCCCTGGGCCCCCTCTATTCAAAGTATGATATGATTAGTATTAATAATGCCAAACTTTGGTACATATAAACTAACCAATACCACTATTATTGTGCCTGGTTTTACTCTTTAAATACACGAAAAACCAGGAGCTTCCGGGGGCTTCGCCCCCTGGACCCCCACCAGGGCTTCGCCCTGTACCCACTGGGGGCCTTAAGGCGGCCCCCAGACCCCCTGCCTGAACGAAGTTATCCACGCCCCCCCTAATCACAAATCCTGTATCCGCCCATGGGACCCTTGAAAAGCACTTACTCTTAGTCTTATTTATATGACAATGTGTGGTTTTGATATAAGTTAACTGAATTACTTAGGTAACCATGGTAACATATTTCTATCTGTTTTTGTATGTTTTTGCATGAGCAAGGGCTTGGGTCACATTAAAAACTTTTCACATTTTTCAACTTCTTCTCAAGAACTACTGGACCAGTTTAAATCAAACTTGTCACAAAGTATCTTTAAAATAAGGATGGCAATGATTAACTGGTTTTTTAACTATTGAGAAAGATCATAACCAGTTGAAATTTTCATAACCAGTTTTGTAACCAGTTACAATTTACATACTAACCACTTAGTAGATAGTAGGGATGGCAATCGAATACAGAATTGCAAATCGAAAAAGATGTTAGAGGTCAAAATCATTCTATTTGTCTTTAGTCTTGATCATAAAACTATGCGCATATTTTTTTTCAATAGACAAGAAAAAATTCAGAAAACCATGAACCATGCCTGAGATATCGTGGATAATTTTCCAGAGCGGATGTCACACAAGTTCATTCTTCATTATCACCATTATCAAAACTAAGTCTAAAATGTATCACTTAATTTACAATGTTTGTATTATAATTTAATGTGATAGATAACTGCAAAAGATACACACACACCAATTCACGGTGCTCAACGGTGATTATTATCATTAAAGAATTAGAGGACAGTCGGGGTAACGACATGATGTTTTAACAGTAATTAACATATCTCAGACTGACCAATTACCCCACAGTTTTAATCTGGAGAGCCATAATGACCTCCCAATCAGCCTAAATAAATAAATGAAAATGCTAAATTAAACGTTTAGGTAGGAATTTCTATTTTGAAAATGAATTTTAGTACATTGCCTTCAGTTTTACATATAATATTTTTTCGACTAATCGATTGCAGATTTTCTAACCGATTGCCATCGTTCCGACCGAGTAATCGGTTAACCAGTTAGAAATTGCCATCCCTAGTAGATAGTTTTTGTCAATGAGTATTTGTATTTACTTTTTCAATAATATTTTCATTTTTTGAAATAAAACTTGTAACATGTTTCAAACTGAAATGTGACAATCAAGCAGCTACCATATCTTGCCGAATGTAATATGCATTGGTATAAATATGCACCCCCTTTTTCAGCCTATAACTTGGGGAAAATTGCAGTTCGGTTGTAAAGATTATTTGCTACAAAATCTTATTTCCTACAGGGCACAAGTTAATTAAACATTAAGATTTTAACAGACTTGAAATTTCTTTGACAATAACTTAAAGATAAGTCACTTGACATATGATAAGCGTTTGATATGTTGTAATCAACACACACCCAAAGCTTAAAAAAATGAAGAACGAAGGTTATAAATCGACCTCTCAAATATGAAACAGGGCTCTCAATTGTCTATAATTGGGGCCGTTCAAGGGCCCCACTCCCAATTCAAAAAAGGTACCTTTTTTCCCAATTAATGTGTTAATTTTCCCAATAGTCATTTCTCCCAAAAATTAAAGAAAATATAGCTGGATATATACCGGTAATAACTTAACTTGCTATTCATATTCCTCTGTTTTATAAAACAAATTTAGTTGATAGCGAAGACCGGAAACCCAATATATATGATTTTAAAGTACGTATAATGGTTATTCCAAAATTTCCTAAAAGGTCTTTATTTTCCCAATCTTTACAGCCCAGCCCCATTCCCAAAAAGCAGTGTTAGAGCCCTGTGAAAATGAAAACAATTATATGTACAGCAAATAAGAAGTGCCCTATCTTGTAAAAAATGTGATTGGAATAGATAGACCATTTCTTTATCCAGGTGAATATCATTACCGCTACATTTTCAAAATGGTAATTATTTACCGCTACATACTCATTACCACTGCAAAAAATGTACACATTACCACTACATTTAAAAGTTTACATTACGAATACATTGCCTCTTTCATTAGCCAATGGATTATGCATGTACAGATTGATACAAAGTACATGTACAACATATCCAAGCATAAGACCTTTTTCCACTGCTCACCATGGGAGACAAAAGTACGGCTTAACAGGGTGGCTTTTTCCCACTTTTTTATTAGTCCCCTACCGATGAAACCAGAGGGAATTATAGGTTTCCTCTGAGTCTGTCCATCTGTCTGTCTGTCCCTCTTTCAGTCTGTCCCATTTGTTTTCCGCACTTTTTTCTAAACGCTTGCAGATACTGAGCTGAGTTTTGGTATGTAAGTGTATCTTGATGAGTTACAGTTCAAGTTTGCATTTTGTTATGCTTCTGAATCAATGATTTTTAATGGAATTGTGGCAATTCAATTTTTAGTGGGAACCAGATTACACTTGTCGGTAGGGGACTAGTATTGCTAATGCAATACTCTCAGAATGCTTGTTTTATCTTAATTATAGTAGGTATTTAAGTATGCAAGTACAATACTGTACATATAAATGCTTGTTCAAAATAAAGTTTTTCTCGTAATTTCGGCCCGATGCAACAGAAACTAAAAATTCAAGAACCTATTGGTAATTAATCTGATGTTTTTTAAATAGATTGATCGAAAGTACATGCAATATAATTCATACTATATAAAGGTACAGTGTTTAATTGATTTGTTACAAAAAAGAGCAATGACCATATCACCAATGCTTATGTAGTGGTAAATATTTTTAATATATAATAAGTTCCACATTTTTTTTTCACAGTGAAATGGTAAAAAAGAAACTGCTAGCGCTACTGTGCAGACTACCATCAATCAACATGATCAACAAAATCAAGTAATCCTTCTGAGTAAGTGACCTGTAGTATTATCTGTTTTCACCTAGGCCAATATGAAAAGGATGAAAGTTATTATACTCAATACACAAGTTTGGAGATTATAGCTCTCCAACAAGAGAAATACAAAAAGTAGCCATATCAGCGTGAAAGTGGCAGAGATTGTTGATAAAGTATACACAATCATGCATAAATAAATGTCAGAATGATGGCTTAATTAGGGCCTTTTAAAATGTTTTTAATATTAAAGAAAGATTTTACATGCACATTATATGTCAAGCAATGATGATTTTGGTGATCATATTGAGCTATACTTTAGTAATACAGGTTTTTGGATGCTTGAGTCCCTGATTGACAATATATATGTAGTTTTTGGAGACCAGGTCTTCCAATAATCTGTCAGAATTCCCATGGGTACCAATTGCAACCTGTTATTAGGCTAGCAGACCTCTTTTTATATTCATATGAAGCAGAATTTATTCAAAATCTTACACATGAGAAGAAGAAAACACTTGCTGTGGTCTTGAACTCGACATTGAGATATATCGATGATGTATTATCAATTAACAATAGTTATTTCCATTCATATATCAACTCTATATATACCCCAGTGAGCTTGAAATAAAAGATACCACAGAGTCTGACACATCTGTTTCATGTTTGGATATTATTTATTTCCATCCCTAATTAAAATTTTATAAATTGATTATGTACATGTAATATTAAATGCATGTTTCTTGGAAAGTAATGTTTTAAGTGTTTCCTTACTGCTCTTAAGGATTTTCATGGTATATCAGATTCTTGTTTATTATCCTTTTCTAAGTGTTACTTTTCTCTAAGCAGTAAACAGTTTTGCCCTGATGTAATAATCTCTCTCGGGTGTTTTCATAATAGGTAATATATTCTCTATGCACTTCCGTTGCGTTTACCTAAGGATTTTTTCAACGCACTGACTGCAATGCTGTTTAAGGATTAATTGTGGGATTCTTATGAGATGCAGAGCCAATCTGATAGCATGAACTAAGACAGAAATATATGTAGAGACAGTGTGAACCGACATTTTAGGTTAAAATAAAATAAAAACATGTTTTTGAACCCAGAAAGACCAGTGGGGGTACAACGTAAACAAACCGGAGTGGCATACCTTTCTCTCTTATAATGTATAGTGGGGTATTTTTTGTGTGGAACGATTATTTTGGGGTTTTCACGATTTTTTCCTATTATACACATGATGAATAAGTGCAATAAATATAATTTGTGAAAAAAATGTCCAACAAGTCCCGGGGTTGAATATCGGGGGGTGGGGGTCCTGTCCACAAGTACCTGTGGATTTGTTTACGTAAACACAGACACCTGCTTGGAATGCATTTTCAGCACAATATCGTAAAATGTTTAGGGTTATAGGGAAAAAAAAATAAGGGACTTAATTTTTAATTTATACCAATCAAATAACAATTAAAATACAGACTATACTTAAATACTTATAAATAAAGCTTATATGTACTAAACTGAATTTTCCAAGAAAATTAAAAGTTGTATCCTACTTTTGTTTTTGAAATAATACGAATATTTTAACTTTTTAAACTTTTTCTTTGGAATAGTTGTGCTGTGAAAATAAGAGATACACCCACATTTTTGGGGTAGCGTTTTATCCATAGGAGCTGCATTTTTCTCGGGATTTTCTCCCCAAAGGATCACTTCTAGGTAAATATATGCGTTGACCTATAGGGCCGATATTGGTTTCATTCTTTAGAAAAAGCTTATCGATATCCGTTCCGGTCGCTGACTTTAGGCCACATGCGTTTAGTTTCTTGTTTCTCATGTATCATTTTAGTTCTAGTCAACTGTGTGTTCATATGACCCTACATCGGTATTTACATATACATCCTTTGTATGAGGGTCCTTACTTGATGCCTGGGTAATGGCAACGGGAGATAAAACCTTAACTGACCTTACCACGTTCTTTTCTAATCTGTAAACCTTCCTTCTGCATTTTTGACAACATGTCGCCAATGCACTCAATTTTCCTGAGGAATGAACTGCATCTACTCTGCATAGCACAGTATCTCTCCCACTGGCACAACATTACTACTAACCAGAGATGTTCTTGAAAGACAAACACAGCAATTTTTGCTCGTCATGATTTTTTTTTCGTGACACCTGCAGTATCGAGTAACACAAAGTGAATGATTCGTGTCCTCGAACAAAGTGTGCTTACACTGAGGTATACAGTTCTGGTTGATTGCGTTTAGTTAAAGAGAATTTATAATCTGCATTTCCATAAATGTCTTTTATATCAACAGCAAACACACATTTAAAGAAGAAAGTGGAAGTAAAATGCAAAAGCCTGTATAAAAAATTAAAGTTCGTGTTTATACAGGTGTAAAATTTGAAAAAAAAAAAAAATAAAAGTGTTCCAACAGGTGGATTCGAACCAGGACATAAAAAAAGGTCCATTCTAAGAATCTGCGGTCTATTTCTCTGCGCTATAATGACTATGAAAATGCACTCCATAAATGTAATCCAGTATGAAAGAACTAGGTTTTTTCGCATTTTTTGTAGGTTTTTCACGAATTTCGACCCTAAGGCAGGGGTGCCCCTAAAAAAATCTTGTTTTAAATCATTCTTTAGATCAAAATCTATCAAAATTTCATAATTTAATTTAGGGGCAGGCCTGCCCTGAAGGACTTCTATACCAAAATTCACGTAAAAATTAGTGCTTTAACGGACAAAATACTGTTTTGACAAACTTTGGAGGTTAATTTCAAAGTTGCAAATAAAAAAAATTACGTTTAAAATGCAAATTTGAAAAATTTAGACAAATATACAATAGAAAACAACTAAAGAACATTGATTTTTAAATGTGACTTTTTCCGGAAAATAGTTCTTTCCTATAGGTCAAATCTTTTGTTATAATGAATACATCCTTTCGGGGTGTGTCTATTACAAGACTACGGCCTTTACACGTGACAATATGGTACTTCGTCAATATATCTAAATGTTAAAGGCGACAGCATGTATTTTCTTCTTCTCATGTATAAGATTTTAAATAAATTCTGCTTTGTATGAATACAAAAATAGGTTTGATAATAACGGAGCACAATTGGTACCTATGGAAATTCCAAGAGATTTTTGGAAGACCTTGTCTCTAAAAACCACATAGATATTGTCAATCAGAAACTCAAGAATCTTTTTAATATCAACTTCAGAGTACTTGTGTATACAATCAGTGTTTTTTACAAATAATTTTGCAAATGACCAATGACAAGATAAGTTAATTTTTTAGTTCCACTTTTAATAAAAAAAACAGCTGTCAATAAACAAATCTCTCATCCATACAAAAAACAAAAAAGCATACCAAGGGTGATAATCTCAAAATTTAAGCATTGATCTGTTCGAAATAATTTTTTTTATTGACATACGTTTAAGGATAAACAACAATACTTGATATATATTGCGATTACTGAAATTAGCGGAACTCTTTCACAGAGGTAGGAAACGTCTGTTGGATGGGGGCAGTGTACTATTGAATGCAATGCATGATGATCATCGATCATTGTGGAATTTATAAGGACTGATAAGAAAGAAATCCTAGAGAAATATCTTGCTAAACATGCGCTGAACCAGCCTAATAAATTTTTGAGAGGAGCTAGTCCTATATATTACATTTTTTAGGATACTTTTTACGAAGCGGACTTTTCTTATTAAATTCTAAATGAAAATCGTTACTTTTGAAAGTTGATAAAATACTCTAAACTTTCCTTATTTGACAATCTACTATTTGGAGTTCAACTCTTGGCAATACATTGTAGTTTGGGCATAATGATTGTTTGAATCATTCCATTGTCACCACTGTAATGTTATGCCCCAGAAATCTTGTGAGATTTAGAGCTTCCTCGACTCCCATGCTAAAGAGCGGTTGTAAGTTAGATAACTGCGAGATACTCGCAATACTGGTACTTTTAATTCAATTCACATGTGCTCACCTTTGAAATGCATTCACAATTCTTTATAAAGTTGGTGACATTATGTATGAAAATATCATAAAGTCTAGTTACATGTTTAAACTATGCTTGTGGTATGCATTTTTTTTTCTTGAACAGTAAAGGAAGGGATGAGAGAGTTCATTGAGTGCCATAAACTTTCATTTATATGTTATTTTTTAGAGATGGAGTACTATACAAGCACAATTTTTTAAAGAAAGAAAAGTCAATGGAATGAAATCCAAAGAAAAGGTGAAGTGAATTGTCACTCATTATATTTTAAATTTAATGTGGACATGGTCATTATTTTAGTTATGTCATAACCTTCTTATCAATTTTAAGCAGTGCAGACAGATGCATTTCTTATTGCTTTGAATAGAATAAATTATCAAAAAAGTTTGTATATGTTTTTTGATATTGAATTAAAATTAAAAAAAAACAACAAATTATCAATTACTGCAGATTTGAATTTCAGTACACTAGAAGTTTTTCTGCCCTGCCATGAATATGGCTGGGGCATATAGAGTTTGTCATGTCCATCTTCCGTCCTTCCAACCTTCTGTCTGTCCTTCCATTCCGCTTTGCTTTTAGCTCAGTTCAAAACTAAGTTTCAAAGAAACTATTCAAGATATTTTTATCAATCTTCATATGCTGATACATATTGATGAGAGGTATTCAATTTCATCAGCATTTTTTTTACCTTGACCTTTCCTTTAACTTTGACCTCACTTTTCTTAAATTAGTGTTTAGCTCAGTTTTAAAGAAACCATTCAAGATAGTGTAATCAAACTTCATATGCTGATACATACTGAATCAACATTTTTTACCTTGACCTTTCCTTTGACCTTGACCGTACTTATCTTAAATAAGTGTTTAGCTCAGTTTTAAAGAAACCATTCAGGATAGCGTAATCAAACTTCATTTGCTGATACATACTGATGAGAGCTATTCAACTGCATCAACATTTTTTGATCTTGATCTTTCCTTTGACCTTCACCTCACTTTTCCTAAATTAGTGTCAAACTTCATATGCTGATACAGACTGATGTAAGGTATTCGACTGTATCAACATTTTTGACCTTGACATTTCATTTGACCTTGACTTCATTTTTCTTGAAATAGTGATTAGCTCAGTGTTAAATAAACGGTTTCCATTCAAAATATTTTTATCAAACTTATTTTGCTTATGTGTATTAGTGAGAACTATTCAACTGCATCAAAAATGTATGACCTTGAACTTTCCTGTGACCTGGACCTCACTTTTCTTAAATTTGCATTTTGCTTAGTTTTAAAGAAACCATTTAAGATAATTTTATGTGAGCTTATGCACTTAACAGAATTTGGTGAGAATTTATCATCTATATCCAACTTTTTTGATTTCAATGTTAAAGAAACTATTTTAAGATATTCTCATCAAATTTCATACACTAAAAATATTTTTGTGTTGCATTACTAATATGCCCACATGGTGCAGTGGTTAAAGCTCTAGAGTTGCTGAGTAAGGAGTTGATCCTTATGTCACTGGTTCGAATCCCACTGTGGGACGTGGAGACCGTATAAACCGAGGTCCCATGTCACAGTAGGTGCTGGCACGAAAAAGATCCCTCACTGCATAATGGCCCTTAGTGCCGAGTATAGGTCAAAATTTGCAGCTCTCCACTGGCAAGTGGTGGCGTCTCCATATGAGTGAAAAATTCTCGAGAGGGATGTTAAACAATAAACAAGCAAATAAAAATTAATATACCCTCAGCGGGGCATTCATGTCCTATGGACATATTTCTAGTTTTGCCCTCTTGTACATTTGTACATGGATATACTTTTTATTTTTGCTCTGTAAACAACAACAAAAACATTATACCATATAATATACACAAAATTATATGCTAGGAATGTATTGTGAAAGATGCATTTCAGCTGACAAATGTAGCATCTTTAAGCCAGCTTTTTAAAATTTTTTCTGAATGACTTTCAGGTACTTCTTTTATATTTGCAACTCATTTATAGGGATGTATTAGTATGGTAGCCTGTCTGCCAACACCTTGTAGATGAGATTCTAGCAAATTGTGTGAGATGGTTCTCTTAATTGACATGAGGTCACCATTTTTTATCAAGATAAAAATTACTTGTATGTCTTGTAATAACATTATTCAATATATCCCTTTCATAGCACACATGTTCCTTTCAAAGAGAAGAAAACATTTATAATTTTTGAAGGTCAATAATCTCATGGATGAAATGCAAAGTGTACTATTTGAAATAGGTGGTATAGGTATTTCAGAGTCTGTATTACATCTTGTGAGTTTATTGTTCGAGGGAATATTCTCATTAAATAAACTATGTAAAGATTTGCTTTTTAATGCAAAGTATTTTTATAAGTAATAACTTCATTTCAACTTACAATGAACAGTTAATCAATGCATCTCACTTTGTATATAATGCATTTTAGAACACACATTTGTGGTTTAAAACATGTTGTAATAGTTTAATAATGCTATTCATTTTTTTTAATTGACAAGAAATGAAAATGTAATGATTATTTCAAAATAGTGTTTTATTCCTCTTATGTATATTTATAGATATGTAAAAGATTGTTATTTTTGTTGATGTTATGTTTGTGTACAAAATACTAGTTATTTAT